AATGACTCATCCAAAATTTCAGCCAACTTGGCAATCAAATGTAACAGTGTGTATGTGCATATATATATTTCTATATAATATTTATCAATATATATAATAAAAAGTCTCCCAAAAGAACAAAGTTACAGCCTATACGGTCTTTTTGTAGGTACTGGAGGATGTACTCCATCAAAATGAGGGAGTAAATCAAAAAAGAGGACTCCACAGAGTCCAAAAAACAAAGGATCAACACAGAGAGAGGCAAAGGATTCTCAGGATGCCAGCAGGGCAGCCAGCCCAGAAACACCGTGTCCAGATGAGAGTAGGGGACTGAGGGCCTTGCACAGATGACTGCAAGGAGTGGAAATGGAACCAGGAGCTCATCAAATAGGTGGAAGGTCAGGTTGAGATATTTTTTGAGCTCTCAGAAGGTGTAGGAAGCTAGACACAGATTCAAAGAAAACAAAGTCAATGAAAATAAGGCAATTATTAATTCCAGGAAAATCAACGTTACACAAATGAGGAAATCTAATCATGATACTATAATCCAAAAATTAAATTCTAAGGCTCCCCAACTATCTGAATAGACTTCCTCCTTAGCCAGGGCTCTTTTAAAACATAACCTGAAAAACTAGTTCAGACCAGGATGGGAACTGGAGGTCAGACACACCTCATTAGACCTCTCCAACAGCAGCATCAACACGGACTTTACGTCTGATAAGAAACGTTTTACAATCCATTCTCTTTAAAGCCTGCTACCTGAAGGCTTCCTCTGCAAAGAAGAACTTGGGTCTCCACCGTCCTTTATCTTAACCCAGACATTCCTTTCTGTGGATCCCAGGTCTTTAGAGAAACTCAACCAATTGTCAACCAAGAAATCTTTTAATTTACCTATAAGCTGGATGCCCCTGCTTCGAGTTGTCCCTCCTTTCTGAATCAAACCAATATATTCTTAAATGTATTTGATTAAGTCTCTTGTCTCCCTAAAATGCGTAAAACCGAGCTGCATCTGACCACCTTGGGCACATGTTCTCAGGACCTCCTGAGTGAGGGCTGTGTCCCAGGCTATGGTCATTCATATTTGGCTCAGAATAAAACTCTTCAAATATTTTACAGAGTTTGGCTCTTTTCATTGACAATATGCATGTCATAAATATAACATGAAAGTACCAGAAAAGGATTTGACAGCAATTTGTAAAGAGAAAGTTAAGCTCCTCATTTGCCAAGCTAGGAAGTCACAAATAATACCTTCGTTCAGTTAATTTATATAATATTTCTGAAAAATACAGAGACACATTCCAGAAGAAACAGCTAAAAAGAATTTAAAAGTATTGCCCCTGAAAATCAGAGTCAGCTATGAGACTGCTGGGTTTTTGCTATGAACTTTTAATTCCATTTGTGTTTTCTAATTTTAAGAAAAATAATTTGATAGAAATAGAAATTATTCTTATTAGTGATGACTAATGACAACAGCTAGCCTTCAGTGCCTCACCCTGAGCTGAGAACTTCACACGTGTTACACACATAACCCTTGCCCACAATCTTCTAAGGTGATTGCTGCTAACATCACCTCAATTTACAGGAGTAATATTGAGGTTTAGTGCTAAGCAACCAGCCGAGCAGAGTCAAGATCCAAATTCAAATTCAACTCCAGACCTGAGCTCTTATTCTATACTGCTTCTCCATTTTTAAAGATTATTGTTTATGCCATCCTTTTAGGCACTATCAAGAAGCTACATACCCAGTACATGCATCTTACACACACACACACACACACACCAATATCTTCTGGTGGAAAAATAACTCCCAGGACAAAAGATGGCACAATATTCTGTAATCTAAATAAACTCTGATTTGCTATTCCTTCTCCTCACCCTGAAACATTCTAAATTGGCTAGATGAAATCAAAGCTTTTGTTATTCAAATGCAAAGTGGAACATTTTATGACATAAAACTCCACTGAGAAACAAAAGGAAACAGAAGTGTTTCTTGGCACCAAGCACCAAAACTTGGACAATGCAGCTCTGTTAAATGAGCAGATCCTAACAAACATGTAGCAGATCCTACATGTAGTTAAGAAGTAAAGGTTGGCTGGGCACAGTGGCTCACTCCTGTAATGCCAGCACTTTGGGAGGTGGAGGCGGGAGGATCACTTGAGCCCAGGAGTTTGAGATCAGCCTGGGCAACAAAGTGAGACCTTGTCTCTACAAAAAAATGAGCCAGGCACGGTTGTGCATGCCTGTAGACCCTCCCTATTCGGGAGGCTGAGGATAGAGGATTATTCGAACCTGGGAAGTTGAGGCTGCAGTGAGCCATGAGTGCACCATTGCACTCCAACCTGGGGGACAGAGAGAGACTCTCTCAAAAAAAAAAAAAAAAAGTGAAGGTTTTCATAACTCTCAAAGAAGAGCTGTCCACCTTCTTTTGGTGAGGCTGTGGGGAAAACAGCACTCACATCCATTGCTGGTGAGGGCAAAACTTGGTATAACACCTGTGGAGATAATTTGGTACTATTTATTCAATCTCACTTCTGGAAATTTGTCCTGCACATACAGAACACACAAGAGAAGTGATAAATGCCTTGGAGTTATTTATTGCAGCATTGCTTTTAATAACTAATAATTAACTGGGCATGGTGCCATCTGCCTATGCCAGCTACTTGGGAGGCAGAGGCAGGAGGCTCACTTTTGATGAGGAGTTCAAGACCAGCCTGGGCAACATAGTGAGACCATGTCAATAAATAAATAAATAAATAGAATTAAAGATTAGAAACAACCCAACTGTGGGCAGGTTAAATACAAAGTGGAATATAATGGAATGGTATGCAGTGGTCAAAAGCAATGCTTATGGGCACAGACACTGTAGCCAAATTGCTTGGGGTTAAGTCCTGGGTTCTGGGCAGTGCTGCACTGGAGGCAGCCACCCTGGATGACAAGACTCTAATGTGAAGTTCTAAGGGATTTTGTCAGTTGTTTGTTTAACACAACCATTTTTTAAAATTCAATAATAAAGACAAGGATAATAAATACATAAAACTCATCATCTTCTGATTATTTTACGATTATGCTCTTGCCTAGGCTATGTAAGTCTGTTCTACCTGTATGATAGAAACATTTACAATGGTGTGTGACAGCACCTCCTCCCAACTTGGTGTTCAGGGTCAACAAGTTGGTGACTTGAAATCAGCCACAAGGGTGTATTCACATCTCAGAATTGCCAAATGCTACAAATCAGGGCTTTTTAAATTTTTTTTACTTTTTGTGTAAGTGAGTTACCACTACGTTGCTTAGGCTGGTCTTGAACTCCTGGTCTCAACTTGTTCTCCTGCCTTAGCCTCCCCCAGGTGCTGAGGTTACAGGTCTGGGCCACCGCACCAGCCATGAGGCTTTTTGTCTTAGAGAGTCATTTAAACGTTTGTCAGCATTCCACTGGTTACATGTGATGGGTACATCCGTTTTGCTACCCGTAAGCCCAGGATGATAACAGCACCTATTTGATAGGGTTATTAAGAGGATTCATGGGTTAACATATGTAAAGCATTTATGAGAGTGCTCAGCGTGCAATACAGCCAATGTAAGGGGTGGTTATGCTTCAGATCATTACTCCCAGTGCGGAAAAATCTCCAAGCTATATTGTTCCATTTTTTTAAAGCTCAGCAAAGCATGTATGAATGCTCTATTTTAGCTACAAAAGAGGGACAATTGAAAATACATATCCACAGCATCTTACATAAAGAAGCCTTGGAAGGATATGCAAAAATTAAATTAAAGGGGTTACCTGTTTCATCTTCGGTTGGAGGAATGGGAAGAGCTAGGTGGATGGAGGACTTGGGTAAGAGCAAGAGGTTTCATCGTACCTTGTATTTTCACTGAATTTTATGTTTTTGAGCTACAGAAACACATTCCCTATTGAAAACATTACACTAAAAACTGAACAATTTTCATTAATCCAATAAGCATTTCATCCTAATCTGCTGTAATCAAAACACTATGGAAGTCCCTCTGTGAGGGTCAGAAGGGGCAGAGAGGAAGGCGAGACCCTGGCTTCTGCCCTGCAGGAGTGCATGCTCCACTTGGAGAGGCAGAGCACACAGAGCACACACAGGGAGAACAGTTTGGTGGGTCAGGTATGAGTCTGACTGCAGATGCACAAACATCACAGGGCTTGCATTTCCATCATGCAGATATGAGGCAGCTCTTAAGAGGTACTTACCATGTTGTGGGAGGGGAGTATCACACACTGGGATCTGTTGGGGGGTTTAGGGGAGGGACAGCAGGGGGTGGAGAGGTTGGGGACAGATAACATGGGGAGAAATGCCAGATATAGGTGACGGGGGGATGGAGGCAGCAAACCACATTGCCATATATGTACCTCTGCAACAAGCCTGCATGATCTTCACATGTACCCCAGAACCTAAAGTACAATTTAAAAAATTTTTTCTAAAAAAACAGCTCATAAATATTTCTTTGCAAAATGCATATAATAGCAATGTGATACACTTCAACCCAAATTTCTTATTCCAGAATCAAGCTCTGTCCCCGCTGAAGAAAGGCCTCAAGTCCTTATGTGAAATAAAAGGTAACCTCTAGACACAAGGTTCTGGAATTCTCACAGAAAGTTGGTACTCTCAGGTAGACCTGATTTCTATGACTATTTTTAGAACACACCAAAAAGCTAAGGTATAAAAATTGTTAGTATTATTATTATGCACCTTTGTAAGTAGGAGACATTTGTTTATATAATTTGCATACAGGGAACATTCACATCTGAAATGGATAATAATTAATGACAAAACAAATCAAAATAGGGTGTAAAAATACCGATAGCAATCCCAGATGTTTTGATATTTTATTACTGTTATTGCAGATGCCTCAAAATAGCATTTACACCCATCACCACTTTGAAATAATGGTAGTTATTAGATCCACCAATAAATCTTATTACTTAGTATGTTACTAAAGAAGCAAATAAAGTACCATATATTTTTGGTAACTACTAAAAAAAAACAAAGAGCTACTTACCCTGTTGTATAAGGGATGTTTATGCCCCCTAGATTAATGCTCTCACATCCAACAATGAAGAGGGTTGAAAAGCACAGTAAAGACACCCCACTGCAGATCATTGCTAGTTTTGCAGATTCTCTGGCACCAAGTTTCAATTTTTTAATAATATAGCCTCCGAGAACAATACCAACACCAGCACTGGGGACGATAATAACCCCTGGGGAGAAGAGAAAGAGAGAGTTAATTTGAACTTGTGTACACTATTATTCATCTTATCTATTCTGTCTCTTGCTCATAGTACTAGGGCAAAAAATCAAAAATCACCATAATCAATATATCTTCACTGTGTGTGATTTTACAATATAAGATAATTTTCAACACATATAATCAGCAAAGAACTGCCATCCAGATTTCAAAAAAATCTTTTACACAGCAAGAAAATAAAGACAAGCAACCCATTAGAAAAGTGAGTAAAACTTTAACAAGTTCTTCACCAAAGACAAAATCCAGACGAACAATAAACACATGAAAGGGGCTCAACCTCATTACACAGAGGGAAATACAGATGAGGCACCTAACACATCGAAATGATAAATACTCAGGTGACAGACACCCTAAATACCCATTACACATTCTATGCATGTCACAAAGTTTCCCATGTACCTCATAAACATTTATGAATATAATGTATAAAAGATTTTTTTTAATGTAAAACCCACAGCAAAATACCACTACACACCAAAGTCTGACAATACCACAGGTTAAAAATGTAGCAGATTAAGAACTCTCAAAACATTGGCAGGATGTAAATCGCAACGCTCATTTTGAAAAACAGTGTGGCATTATCTGGTAGCGTTGAAGATATACATGCCCTGTGACAATCAGTTCCATTCCTGGATCTATGCCCTGAAGACACTTGTGCACATGGGTACCAAAAGACAGGGACAAGATATTTGAAGCATCATAATAGAAAAAAACTGGAAATAAACCAAATGTCCATCAACAGATATATCATATTTAGTATATCTATTTAAAGGAGTGCTTCTATACACTGATTAAATGGAAAGAAAGGTAGCTACACACAACTTTGTATGATGAATCATACAAAGACAATGTTGAACGGAAGGATCCAAATGCAACAGAATGCACATGACATGACTACATTGGCATGAAGTTCAGGAACTTGTAAAACTAAACTGCATTGTCTGGGAATGTACACACAGATGGTACGACGATGAAGAAAACCCAGGAGTAATCAACATAAAAGCCAAGATAGCAGAGGAAAGGATACGGAGGATCCTCTGGTGCTGAAAAATACTTCATGCCGTGACCTGGGTAACAGTTACTGCTGTGGTCTGAATGTGTGTGTCCTCAAAAATTCACATGATGAAATCCTAATCGCCAAGGTGGTTAGGAGGTAGAGGCTTTGGAAGGTGATGAAGTCACAAGAGTGGGAGGCCTATAAATAAGATTCGTGTCCTTATAAAAGAGGCCTGAAAGAGCTACCTCGCCTTTCCATGTGAATTTACATGGTGGGAGGTACATGTGAGAACACAGCCTTCTGTAAGAAACTGGGCCCTCCTTCACCACACACGGAATTTGCCAGGGCCTTGTTATTGGACTTCCCAACCTCCAGAACTGTGAGAAATAAATTTATGTTGTTTATAATCCACCCAGTGCATGGTAATTTTGTTACAACCACCTGAATGAACTAAGACAGTTACACAGCATTCACTTTATGATTATCTCTAAATTGTGTGTAATGTACTTCTGGGTATGTTATTTTTCACTGTAAAGAATAAAGCAAGTGGCCAAGCAGAGTGGCTGGTGCCTATGATCCCAGCATTTTGGCAGGCCAAGGCTGGCGGATCAGGTGAGGTCAGGAGTTGGAGACCAGCCAGGCCAACATGCAAAACCCCATCTCTACTAAAAACACAAAAATTAGCCAAGGGTGGTAGCACATTCCTGTAATCCCAGCTACTCAGGAGCCTGAAACAGGATAATCACTTGATTGAACCCTGGAGGCAGAGGTTACAGTAAGCCAAGATGGCACCACTGCATTCCAGCCTGGGCCGCAGAGTGAGACTCCATCTCAAAAACGTAAAATAAAATAAAGAAATCATCATGATGCCTGCCCCCAAGAACCTTACAATCTAAAAGAGAAACAAACTACTTAATAGGGATTAGGACACAATAAAATAATTACATGAAGGGGAGGAAGAGTCTTCCCTGGATGAAATCCAGGAAGGCTTCGCATAAGTGGCAGTATTTGAGTTGACTCTCAGTAGATGAGACAGAATCTGCCCAATGAACCAGCAGAGAGAATGTCCTACACAAAGAAAATATATGCACAGAGGCATGAGATAACAAAATTGAGGATTCAACACAATCCAAAACATTGAGTATGAATAGCAAGCAGCTGGGAGGTGGAAAGACCTGGAGAAGAGAGGTAGGGAAAAAGGAGACCATGGAAGGAGCTTAGATTGTAGCTCTGACAAAGGAAGCCGCTGAAGAATCGTGAGCTGTGATTGAAAGGATGGAAGCTGTGTATTACAAAGATCATCCCTGAAATGAGATGCAAGACAGCTTAGATGGGGTCACAACTCAACTCAGAGGAAAGGTCAGGAGGATGACTGTGAAGGTCCCTGTGAGCCACAGTAGGGCCCTACAAAGATGGCCCAATAAATTAGATAAGACAGAGAGAGAGGAAGGATGACTGCATGACCAAAGATGGTGGGAGAAATTTGGAACAGGAGGAGGAATGTGTGTGCAGAGCAGCTCAATGGCCACCACTGTAGACTTGGTTGATTGTGAAGGACCTGAGGAACAATCAGGTGGAAATGCCTCAGCCAGGCACGGTGGCTCATGCCTGTAATCCCAGTATTTTGGGAGGCCGAGATGGACAGATCATTTGAGGTCAGGAGTTCCAGACAAGCCTGACCAACATGGTGAAACCCTGTCTCAGGGCTTGGTGGCATGTGCCTGTAATCTCAGCTACTCAGGAGGCTGAGGCAGAAGAATTGCTTGATCCCAAAAGGCAAGGTTGCAGTGAGCTGAGATCGCACCATTGCATTCCAGCCTGGGTGAAAGATCAAGACTCCATCTCAAAAAAAAAAGAAAAGGAAAGAAACCCAAGAAACCTAGGAGAGAGTTTCAAGGAGAAAATGACATTATCAAGTGCCTTAGAGAAATCCGGTAAGAAAGACTGAAATGAGACAATGTGTCACTGGACCTCTGACAAGAGCAGTTTTAAGAGTGTCATGCAGGAGTAGTTAGTCACGAGGACCTAGAGTTTGGGAATCCAGACAGCTCTTTCTAGAACTTGGCATGTAAAGGGGATACGAGTCTAAAATTAGACTGGGGCCAAGGTAGGGCTGGGGTTTAGAGGGTTTCATCTGTTTCCTAGGATGCAGAGAGGACTTGAGCATATTTATATACTGAGGAAAATAAACTAAAAAGGAAATGAATGGTTGAATGTGGAGGGGAAAGTTTAGTGAATGACAATACAAGATCCTTGAGAAGTCAGGAAAAGATAGAATTAATAGCCCAGATAATCAACTTGGCCCTCAGTAGAGAGAGAGAGACTCCTTCATCTGGGCTAGAACAGGGGTTAATCCATGGCTGAGCAGTAGCTTTACAATGTTAGTTTTTCTGTTATATTTTTCCATTATTTTGTAAATATAATGTAGGAAATGTTGTAACAAAACATTTGAAAAACATAGAAAAGTAGGAAGAAAAACACAGAAAAGTAAGAAGGAAAACAGAAAAATAGGAAGGAACAAATATCCACTGATTGCATTCTGGCATATTTCATTGCAGACGTTTTTCCTCCGAGAATTCATAACATGCTGGAGATTCATTTTTTTATAGCTTTGATTTTTTTTTTCTGTACAATTGAAAATAAAACCAACTCTTGGAAGAGATATTGAGAACTTTAAATGTGGCCAAGGGTTGGAAAAACCATGGTGAGAAAGTGAAGTCAGAACTACACAGGTCCAGACGATATTGGACACCAGAATCTTGCAGCTGCATTCACACGCACCGTTGCATGCTCCAGCATGTTCAGCAACCCGCGAAGAGGAGCAGAGGAAGACAGGGAGCTTAACTGAAAGCCAGTTTTGCCTGGCACGCAGTGTTCATCTTGCAATCCTCACCAGAGTCCTGTGAAATCAGCAATGGCTTTTTTTTTTTTTTTGAGACAGAGTTTTACCCTTGTTGCCCAGGCTGGAGTGCAGTGGTGTGATCTTCGCTCACTGCAACCTCTGCCTCCCAGGTTCAGGTGATCCTCCTTCCTCAGCCTCTTAAGTAGCTGGGACTCCAGGTACTGGCCACCATGCCCAGCTAATTTTTGTATTCTTAGTAGAAATGGGGTTTCACCATATTGGCCAGGCTGTTCTCAAACTCCTGACCTCAGGTGATCCACCCACCTTGGCCTCCCAAAGTGCTGGGATTACAGGAGTGAGCCTGGCCGGCAATGGCCCTTTTACAGATGAGGAGATTGAAGGCTCAGGAAAGTGGCCTGCTTACTGACATTTTCTGTTCCCAGCCCCACACTGGGCCCACATTATCACATCTGCCTCTTACACCCAACCAGTCCATGAAATCTCACCCAGAGCTCTGGAGTGAGATGAGCTGGTGAATGAAAGAAAGTACCCTCCTCACCAAGAAAACGTATACATACTATCAATGTGATTAATTTGCCTTTAGAATGAAAACGTTTTATTCATAAAATTTCCATTTCAACTGAGCAATTGTGGAGCAGCAGATAGTGTACTAGACCCTCAGGATAACAACAAATCTCCATGCTGGCAGCTGAGTCATAATTAAAAAGCAGCAGAATTTATTTGACTATGCATCCTAATTAGCATTAGGCCCTCAAAAACAGAACATTTGTCATCAGTAAATATGAGGGTACACCACAGTGAAAACCCATGAAAATGTTCTTCTGCGCCTCCATCATCTCCATCTCGCTGCACTATTAAAACAGAAAGATCTGACCACTCATTACGCGAATATGGACATTGCTCAGATCTCCAGTCAGAGAACAATGCAAAGTTTGCTTTGGGTAATCATACACATCTCAGGAAGAGCAGCGGGGATGGGGTCGGACAGTTCAGAGCCTTCTCTGTCCCTCACCCCCCACCCTCAACGCCCCTGGCTCCAAGTACAGAGGTTGTAGTGAGCTTATGGAGGGTCTGGTAGTCAGTTTCTCCACCC